CACTGTCAGTGGCAGGGGGCTTCTTCCTGCTTTCCCTTTCGCCTCCCTGCATTGTGCCTACATATGCAAATTAACCGTCATCTTGTGGGCAGTTAACTGCCAATCTTAGTTGACAGTTAATTTGCATATAGCCCTGATTAGCCAATGAAAAGGGTAGCGTCGTATGCCAATTACCATTTTCCTCTTTTATTAGTATAGGATATAACAACAACAAAAAGAAAACTACTAACAGTGGCTCCCTCTGGGAAGGAGTATAGAATAAGAGAGCTTGAATAAGAGAGCTAAAAGAAGGGAGAGTCTTGCTTTTTCTGTTGTTGTTCATACATTCAAATATTTATTCCTATTTAATAGCTATTTATTTAATTCCAGTCTACTCCGAATCACATAATCCTATTGTCTGAGTTTTTGTTTTGACAAAAAAAAATTTTTTTTAATCTGCCCAGTATAATTTGCATAGGACAAACATGGTCTTATTTGAAATGCACAGATAAATGAATTTTAATAAATTTGTAGTATCCCATGTAACTGTCAACACAATCAAGAAATAGAGCATTTCCACCGCCTCTAAGATTCCCTTCTCCCTCCAGCCCCAGGCAAACACTGATTTGCTTTCTAGAATTGCATAAAAATGGAATCATACAGTTTGTCTTGTATCTGGCCTTTTTTGCTCAGTAAAAGGTTTTTGAGGTTCGTCCATGCTGTTGTGTATCAGTCATTTTCTCCCTTCTCTGTTCGCATGGATTGATGGTGCTCCGCTGTACAGATACAGGGCATGTGGTTATCCATTTACTCTTGAACGTCTGGGTTGTTTCCAGCTTTTTAGCTGTTATGAGTCAAACAGCCCCCGACATTGGGGGTCTTTCCCTCGATATACTTCTGTGTTGTTTGAATTTTTTCACAGCAAACATGTATTTGTGTATTGCTTTTGTGCCTTTGATGTATTTTTACAACTTAATTTTTTCTTTTAAAAATGAACATTCAAAAGCTCCTAATCTGAGATAAAAGGTGGAAGTTCCTGATTGTGAATGTTATCATTAAGCAGTTCCTATGTCCCAGTAATACTCTCAGAACTATGTTAATTGTGGCCACAGGCAGTTTCTGAGGGTGGAGGAAGATGTTTGGTTTAGAATCATGTTTTCCCATCTCTGTGGTCGCTGGTTCCGCAGGAACTGCACGAGGCAGGCCATCAGGTAGTGAGTGGAAGGAAGGCTTTGGACAAAAGGTGAGATGGAAGGAGCTTGTGGTGACCAGAGTTTGGTTTGAATAAGAAAGTAGGAGACACAGGCCAGAGCACTGCTTCTTCAGTTAAAAGCAGGAACATAATGGCCCTGGCTGGCTGGCTCAGTTGGAGTGTCATCCTATATACCAGAAGGTTGTGGGTTCGATCCCCGTTGGACATATTTTCCTCTCACATCAATGTTTCTCCTCTCTCTCTCTCTTTCTCTCTCTCTCTCTCAATAAAAACATAGCCTTGGGTGAGGATTAAAAAAATAAAATAAAAAGCAGGAGTATAATGGAAAGTTGGTATAAATCCCGCAAAGAGCCTTCACCAGATAAGGGACAAGAGGGGCCCAGGCGACAGCACCTGGCTCCCTGGCCCAGCCTCCTGAGCCTCCTCGTGCTCACTGCCCGAGGGTAGGAGGGTGGGGGAGAAGTGGGAGTGCTCTTGGCCCCTGGGAAGGAGCAGTGGTTAGAACTGAACTCCAGGGTCTTCTCTAGGTTTAAGTCTCAGCTCTGCCACTCATGATGCTGTGGGTCTGTCCAGGCCTCAGTGCCTCCTGTAAAATCCAGATGATGATGAAGGGTACCTCCCTCATGAGAAGGCTGCTGGAGAGGGGAGCCATCCCTAACCTGGCGGCCAGCACGCAGCCCAAGGAGTGTGGGTACTTCCTAGCAGGTCCTTAGAAGGTACCAAGGAAGAGCCTCACAAAATGATAAGTCTCAGCAGGAGGATAATGCAGAGAAGACATGAGGCACCATTGGATCCACATGAGAAAATGGAGGAAGAACTCCTGGTCCCATATGCTTCCCAGACAGCATCGCCCAGAGGCCGGGAGCAGGGCCTGCAGCCTGACCCAGTGCTGTGAGTCCAATCCTACCTCTCCACACAGTATTTCCTTCGCCCACCTCAGCTGACTATGAAATTGGACGATGATAGTGTTACCAGACAGGGGACCTGGCCCTGAATGGGTCTCCCTGGGGCCAGCGGGTAGTATATGGGTTCTTTACTTGGTGCAGGAAAGATTTCACAACAGGAGTCCAGGTGAAATTTAGAGGATATTTATTCAATATGGGGACAATTTAGCAAGAAAGGGCTGGAGAAGTAAGCCTAGGCTGGTCTACTTTGGCTCACCAAGAAGTCAGAGAAGAGAGGGTCCACCTGGGAGGAACTGCTGCTGCCCATCGCTGCCCTGGTTGCAAGCCTCATGGGGGAAAAGTGGGGGGAGGTAAGGTGGAAGGCAGGGGCGTGCTCCTGGGAGGGAAAGCATGCACTACTAGACCAAGTATGTTAAACTAGAGGCCCGGGGGCCGCATGCCTCCTTTATTTGGCCCTGTTAGCCTTTGAGTTTGACCTGCTTGCACTAGACCTTCGTTTTGAGGGTTTTTAAAGGTGTTTAGGGGAGGATCTTGGTAGAATATTCACCAGTTTTATGCTGATGTATCAAAATGAGGTTTATTCTCTTAACTTCCTCTGTCCTTGGGTGAGGTTGGCAAATGGCACGAATTGGATTTCTGCTCTCTATCTCCCTGAGTGGGGTGATTTAAGCTACTTACCCTCTGGTTGGGGAGGAGAAGTACAAACCATTTTCTCATAAAAGTCCTTGATTTAGGGAATAAAAGATTTACCAGATGGCTGCAAACCGCTGTTTAACTATCTGTCTGTTTGCCTATTCCGTCTGTCCTGGCTTACTGGCCTGACTCACTATAGGACCTACCGCAACGGGTTGGTTGTTGTGAGAATTAAAAGAATTAAGTTTGTAAAGCACTTAGAACAGGGCACGTGGCAAGCTGGCTGCGCACATGCCAACGTTGCCATTATCGTAGCGAATGTCCGATGCTTGCTCGTGCCTATGTCTCCATCACTGATGTTACCCACGAAGAAGCCGTGTGGATTCTAGACTGACACCCTGACTTAGGCTGTGCGCCTCCTTCAGATGCGCCTCCCAGATGCCAGCCGGCGTGAAGGCTGGGCTGAGTGGTCATGCTGGTTTCTCCTCGGGGGCCTCACCTCTGGCGGGCCAAGGCCAAAACAAGCACAGGCAAACGCAAACCTTCCGCAAGGACCGCAGGCCGGTCTGTAAACACAAGCGGCAGGGGTGTAAGTACTCTGCAACAATGGACCCCCGCCTTCGTGACCGCTTTCTGGAGTCTGCTCCCCAGCACACACGGGGCCCAGCCCAGTGGAGGCGCAGGAGCTGCGTCAGCCAAGTCGTCCCAGGGGGCCAGGGCCAAGGGAAATGGCTCTGTTTACCCCAGGCCCCTCCGTTACAACGTCATCCCAATAACAAAGAATTCCACGGAGCTTCCCCACGACCACTATTATTTATTTTAGCCTGATTACCAGGAACGGAATTGCAGCAACAAATAACCCAGGATTCCAACCGCCGTCTGCTGCCCCTGCCCAAGGAACTCCGTCTCTATTTTAAACAGAATTTTAACAGACAAAACCAGATGATGGAGGGTATTTGAGAAGGGAGCACGGGGTGGGTGGGGTGCGGGGTGGGGAGTTTGGCTGAGGTCTTTCCACAATCTAATAAACTACTCCTCTTCTCACCAAGTGAGAAGAGGGA